ACAATCACAGAAAATCTAGCTGTCATAGCTTTGATGTCTTCATCTGGTTCATCATGAAATTTTCATAGCTATGAGTAAGAAGACTAATTTTGGTTTCCTTTACCTCGTCGGTTCCTTCATGAGGTATTTGAAGTTTATCCCATATTTCTTTGGCGGTTGAACAAGATGATATTCTCCCTTATTCATCTGGTCCAAGTGCACAAAAAAGAATATGGATAGCTTTTGATTTGAGCTGGAATAATCTCGTCTCTTCTTCACTCCACATGTCTAAATATATTGATGGTTTGGAGTATCCTCTCATCATGATTTTACATGCTCCCATTACAATAGCTTGAATGAAGAACTTCATTTTATTCTTCCAATAGGCGTAGTTAGCGCCATTGAAGAATGGAGGCTTGTTGACGGGCTGAGAATTAAGAACGAAGTCGAAGTTTGATGCAGAGGCCATTGATGACTTGAATATCGATTTAACTCTTCCCGGATCTTCTCAAGAGGTGGTAAAACCTTCAAATGAGTGTAGCTATGATGCCAAGTATTGAGTTAATCGATCAGATGAAATAGCCAAGAGGGGGTGAATTGGTAATTAAAATTTTGGTGGAAGCTTTGACAGAAAATTGAAAAGATTTGCATAACGAGTTAGAGTAGTTTGACTTTCTCAACCAAAGTCTACGTCCACTACCTTAGCTATCCACACTAAGGATTTTCCACAAATTCACTAATTTATCTTTCTTTTGAGGACAAAGAGTAACCTTACAACTCCCTCAAGAATTATACCCCAATCTCTTGAGACTCTCTCTTCTCAAAGAGAAAATTACAAACTTATAGAAAAACCTCACAAGGTAAGATGTTTGCACAATTCTAGAACAAAGAAAGAACACTCAAGAATGAATACAATTGAGCACAAATGGTGTTCTTGAAAGCAAAATGAATATTGAATGGATTTTGGCTTGAATTTCTCAAACAATAAGTTCAAGGCTTTTTCTCTTTGAATTATTTCTCAAAACTTGTTTCTTATTATTCATCAATGGCTTCATGACTTGTTTAAATACCCCTTGAATGAATTCTGATTGTTGGGGATGATCATGAAGTCAATAGAGTCGTTGTTGTATGTTTTCCACTTCAAAAAACTATTGGGAGCTTATGAGTATCGGTACTCCTTCATAGGGGTATCGATACTACCTGTACAAAATTAAAATATTTCGACCGTTGCAAAAATAATGGTATCGGTACCTCTCAAGGGGGTATCAATACTACTATGTAAAGAGGTATCGATACCGGTCATGGTATCAGTACCCATTTTGCATTCTGTTAATTCTCGGAGTCAAAATCAAATTAGGGGTATTGTTACCTTTTGTCTAGGTATCGGTACCTCTTTTGCATTCGATGTTTGAGGGGTATCGATACTCGTTAAAGAGGTATCGATACATCCCTATTAAAAACACAATTTTGACTCGATTATGGTTCGAAATACTTTGTAAAAATTATTTCAAAAATATTTTAAGAGTAAAACACAATTTTTCATTTAAGTAAGGAGTGAAATTGATATTTAAAAACTTGGAGTAATATTTGTGATATTCGATTAATTGAATCGAATATTATATTTGAAATTGAATATAAAATCTTAAAATTCATTAATACTTTATTTGTTATATCAAAATATCAAAATGTTTTCAACAGATCGCCACTTCATCAAAAAAAAAAATTAACTCATGAGAGATTTATGTTACCTACATACCTACGAGACAACAAGTTGCAGACTTGTTGACCAAAAGCTTGATCAGAAACATGTTTGAAGAAATTATTGGCAACCTAAGTTTGATAAATATCTACACTTCGGCTTAAGGGGGTGTTGGAATTCCTTAAATTAAGGATAAATTACTTACTTTATTCCTAGGAGTTTCCTTGTATAGTAGGATCTAATCTTAGTCTAATTCTTAGGGAGTTACTCATTTTTAGGGATTGTTCCCTTATTTTCACTTAGACTACTCTATAAAGGCTATAAACTATTTAGTAAATAACAACAACCTTATGTTTAAGTTTGTTCAACATATTTTAAACATGTAAGACTTCATTGTGAAAATAATACTGCTCTATAAATAACTTCTAACCCAATTTCTCATGAGAGAACAGAGCACATCGAAATCGATTGTTATTTCATTATACAGAAAATTCAACAAGGAATAATTCAAACCAAGAACGTTTCAACACATGAGCAGCTGATAGACATCATGACCAAGGTTTTGGGTAGACATAAACATAATTATTTGATGTCCAAGTTGGGTCTCAAAAATGTATATCAACACTCAACATAAGGGGAGCGTTAAATTTATTAGTGATTGTAAAGTAATTGGTTCTGTTAGCAGTTAGTTAGAGGTTAGTTATTCTGTTAAGGGTAGCTTTGTGTATATAAACAGTACTTTGTAACTTAGCTCTTATGAATGAGAAATGTGAATTTTTTCATACTTATATATTCATAACATTTTCAATTTTCAACTTATTTTCTTATCATGGGAAAATTCAATGCTTCATCATGGGAAAATATTAATAGTATTCATAACATTTACCGTTTATAACTCATTTTCTCTCCCTATGTAACATTTTAGTGTAACCTGTTATGTTACTCCAACTGATAACTTTTCCAGTTTCAGTTTATAACATTATAGGTAACGCTTTTAACTTGATCTTTTTTACTGGTCATTCCGTTTATTAGCCTTAATTTAGGCATCTCACAAGAACATCTCCCAATTACAGTAGATGGGAGAGAATAGGACAAATTTATATGATTTTTCATACTATATTTAGAATTGAAAGTACATCAATCCCAATCAGTACTTGAATTTAGAGGAAATGAAAACTATAAACACACATACATATATTATAATCTCTAGCCATCTTTTTACCATTAAAAATATTTTAAAACTATAAATATAATAAACAGAAAGTAGTTGAGATCTCAAAGTGGCATTATTCCTACTTGAATTTAGAGGAAATGAAAACTATAAACACATATGCACACACGCGCACACGCACACATGCACGCACGCACGCACGCACGCATATACATATATTATAATCTCTAGCCATCCTTTTATCATTCAAAAATATTTTAAAACTATAAATATAATAAACAGAAAGCTGTTGAGATCTTAAAGTGGCATCATTCTTAATTATACAATATACAAATGGTGCATGTGAAACTGTTAACCATGGTAATTTTTATTAACTGTCAAAGCTTGAGATATTCACTTTTTACCATTTCCAATCCCCAATTACACTTTCTTTTCAAAACTGGTGATCAATGAAACATAATATTATCATCATTTCAGGACGTTATATATATATATATATATGAACAAAAGTGTAATGGAATGTACATTGCCCGAATTTGTAGTTTGCTATAAACAGAGTACATATCATGGTGTCAAAGACATCTGCACTGCCCAAACCAAAATATGATGAGCATAGGATGCCATTCATAACCCTTTTTTAATGCAACTGTCATTTATCAATTGCTACACCTGAACAACTGAATATATAAATGTATTGGCGTTGATATTCACTGTTGGGGGTTGAACTACGTTTCTTATTTTTTTTAACAGCTGTTATTGAATATATCGATAAAAAAATAATTAATCTCTAATTTGTTTTGTTAGTCAAACGTTCTGGGCAAGTTGGACACTCTTGTCCTCATTCTTCATGGATTTACTACACATGCTCGTGTTTTGTCTTTGGGGAAAAAAAGCCTTGCTTTCAAACACCAAAACTAACATTATTTTCCCGTCTTCTATTTGACTGCCTTAGTTTTTTATTTTAATAAAACTAGGATTTTATTAAATAAAAGGTAATGTATAACAAAAACAATACAATTTCAGCATTGAAATTCAAAGGATGTAAAGGAAAATAAAATCAAAATCTTTCATGAATATATGTTTCATTTTCAACAAAAAAAATCTCTCAACTATTAATAATCTGTATATCTCCACTTGAACCTAGATGCAATTTGCTTAAAGGTGTGGAGATTGAGAGAAACGATCTGATAGATTGCTCCGCGAATGCTTCCGAATACATTGACAAACTACCATAAAAAGGGAATCTAATTATATGAGAACATTGACTTTTCTTGATCAGGAGATGCGTCGTAATAAATGCAACATGAAACATCAAACTATCATAATGATAGACAAAATTGTGCCATAAAGACAAATAAAAACCAACACTTCATGAATAAGTGAAAAGGAAAAAAAAAAACAAAAACAAGAAGATGTTTATTTAAATTTAAATTAAAAGAAAATTAAATGAAAAGAAAAGAAAAGAAAAAAATAAGAACAAGAGAGCCAACGACAATTAGCTGCCTAAGGCGACACTTTGAAAGAAAATTAGATAATTACTTATAGAGAAAATAATGATTTTTTAATAGTATGGGGTGATTATAAAATAATATCTTAAGTGCGTTCGAATCTAAGATCATCAAAAATAATAACTCTTTTTAACTATTAAACTCACTTAATAAGTTCAAAAAACAATGATCTTTACTTTAATATATTAAACTTTTGCTATAATAAATATTAGTTGGAGGTCATTCTTAAAACTAAAAGAAGTAATTAATTAAATAATGTTGTAATTAGTAATCAAACGATCTGTATGAGGCGTGTGAAGCCCTCTTATAAAGCAAGTATAAATTTAAGTTTTTCCCTTGTAATTACGTGTTTTGGAACTCTGCATCTTTGTGCTTTGTGTCCGCTCTGCATTCTCTTTCCTCTTTGAAAATGGGGTTTCCCTCCCACATAAAAACAACCCCTTTCTCACAAAACTAGAAAGGAAAAAAGAATCTCGAGAGAAATTAAACTGATATGAAGCTGAAAGGGATCTTCATGATTGTGCTTTATTTTACCTTTCTTGCACTGCAAACACCTTGTATTTCCCTGCAAATCCAAGGTAAACTACAAAGGTTTTATGTTTCTCATCATCATGTTTCATTATCTAATAATGTGTTTTAAATGCTTCAAATCATGAGCAGATAAAGTTATGCTTTCTTCATCTACTGTTGTTCTGCCAAGGAAGCTTAGATTCACCGAGGAGTTTGCAGTAAGAATATACTCCATTTAGAAAAAGAGATTCAATCTTATAAAGAATCATAAAAATAATATTATCATCTCCTTAAATCATCTGCAACTTTTGCTTGTTTGAAACAGTTCAAAGGAAATGAAGCTGTTGCACAACATTCTATATCAAGCACCAAGAAGAACGAAGATGTTCCCGGTGAGATATCTAACTACTCGAATCAATGAAATAAATACACAGATGATTATATGGTGAAAAGAAAAGAATGATTCATATTGAATGCTGGGAAAATTAATTTCTCAGTTAGGGTAAAATGATCAATATAAGAAGAAATCGATGGTTGCATCACTTAATATTTTTGAGAAGACGCTTGAAAGACACGGTGTCTTTCTAAGACTACATGCAGTCTGAATGATAACCTTAGCAGAACAACAACGGAGAGGACATTGGAGTCTTTTGAGCGTCTATCCAATAACGTTAGATAATCTGGATATATTCTCCCTTCCACCCTAATTCGGAAAATAATTTCAATTTCAACAACACTTCATATTAGTCACTCCTTTTTTTCCAAACTATTATCCCATCAATTTTTTCCAAATAACATGAAAAATTGCATCTTTTGTGATGAATAGAATCTGGGTTTCAGCATTCAGTATTCCTCCATTACTTTTCTTGAACCATTTGACTTCAAACTTAAAACTGCCAAAATCTCTTCACTTAAACTAGGATTTTCTTTCTTTTGATTTCTTCAAACTTCACAGCACTTCACTTATCATTTTGATCATACAAAGAATTCAGAAACTATATGAATCGTTTGTAGCAATTCCTCTTGATTTAAAAAGTGAGAATGGGGGGCATGCATGCAGGCAAAACAAAGCAGAAAGAGCATGGAAGAAGGCAACAATGGGCGGAAGGAGATTATTTTACAATGGATTATCCCAGGGTAAGAAGACGGCGTCCCATACATAACAAATCGTTGCCGGTTGGCCCTTGAAACCTTGCTCACTTCATCACCTAACAATACACAAGAACAGTTTTTAGGGTATTTTTTAGTTAACGACAAAAAATAGATGCAGTAGTAATTATTGTAATTAGGAAGAATATAAGGGATGTGTCTTGTTTTGTTTGTGTTTATGGCCGACATTTCTTTTTGTTATTTATTGATTAAAATTTATTTGGTAATCAAGTTTGATTTTAATATAATTTTAATGGAAGGAGATTAATTAATCATTAAATCTATTTATTTAATCTTTTAAAATTATGGGAGAAAATATTATTGGAGAGATGTAGTTATTTTAGAATCTACATTTGAGAGATATTTTTCTAAAGATATTAGAAGTGTTTTGAGAATACACGAGTTTATAGGGTACAAAAATTTCATGTATTTGTAATTTTTATTATCTCTATGTTTGATTTTTCTCTGGTGCTCAAACCTGAGATCTTTAAGAATACCAACAATTCTTTTAACCACTGAAGTAATTTAATTTGTGCTATTGTGATGTCAGAATGGATAGATGCGAAAGAGTGACAATGAGTTTTCAATTGCAAGGAGCATCTCTCAATTGATCTAACAATATTTTAATAAATATTTGATTTGTGTAAAAATTAAAATTGTTGAAGATTGTAAGGTTAATTCTTTTGACGCAATTTATGTTAAATGGTGGGAGATTGTTCGGTAATTAAATTGAATTTTGGTGTAGTTTTAGTGGTTGAAAATTATCTGATAATAAAATTTATTTAGTTAAGAATTCTTATTTAATAATATTTTTTATCAATTATTTGTAGGGATAGCAAAATGATCCAGATCTAACGGGTTCCTACCCAGTCCGACCTGATAGGAGTGGATTTTTTTTTATAAATCTTGGGTTCAGGTCGGGTTGAGTCAGATGCTTTATGTAGAATTTTCGAGTTCGAGTCAGAGTCGATTTTTGAGTAAAATATCTCCGACTGGACCCGGGTATTTAATTGTATTATATAGTTTGATTTATTCACAAAATTGTCATCCTATATATATAAATGTTTAGGGTTTATTTCTTTTCATTTGTTTTCTTATCTTCTCCTTTTCTGTCGCTTCTTCCTTTTTCTTTTCTATTTTTTTCATTTATTCTCTCAAATCCTGTCTAACCAAATGTTTTTGTTTCTTTTATTTCATCTCTTAGATGATCACAATCAAATGTTATCCGCTTTTCCTTTTGATTTTTGATTTTTATATTTTTAGGGATTTTAGATCTAAAGATTTTCGAATATATACATGTTTTTGTTTGTGAAAAATATAATTTTAATTGTCTTTTTTTTACAATTTTATTATGTTTGATTTCCTTTGATTTTTTATTTAGCATGATTTTTTTTAGTTTTGTTGTAAAAATATGATATTTTCATATGTAATAATTCATATTTTTATAGCTTTAGTGAGATTTTTAGGGTTTTGTCTTTGTAATTATTGTAAAAAAATGTTATTGTAGGCTAAACTGGAAAGAATGTTAGAAGTTGTTGGGTTGTCTTTGGGATTTTGTTCTATTTATTTTCTTTCCAGTAATATATTTCAGTTTGGGTCAGGTCAAAATCGAGCTTTTATTTTAATTTCAGAGTTGAAGTCGGGTTAAATTAAACAATATTAAAATCGGGGTCAGGTCAGAGTCGGACCAGGCAAAAATTTGACCCGACCCGATCCATTGACATCCCTCATTATCTGGTTATATAAATATAGATAGGTCTCCACCTTGAGAATTATGAAAGAAAATTGTTGGAAATATGTAATTCTTTTGGAATTTCTATTTGAGAGGTAAGTTTTATTGGGCTATGAAGACGTGAGCTAAAAGAAATATTGATTGGCAAGCTGTTAGAAGATGTTACTGAATCAACAGTTTGTTAGAGTTTGTTAGCATAATAATTCTCGTGTTTATGATGCATTTCTACTGTTTTAAATAGTGCTCCCCTATGTATTGAAGATAGATGAAATGCAACGCTCTATTGAATTCTTGTTTCATCAAATCACCTAATATGGTATCAGTCGTCATAAATTCTAGTTTCTTTCTTGCTTTCGTTTGTGCTAGTTTTTGTGTTATCATGGATTCCGGATCATCGACTCCGTCCAGTGCTACTCCGGAGATATTTACTAACAAAAGGGTGAGTGTCATTATTGATGAAGGTAATTTTATGCTATGAAAACAACAAGTCTTTTTATCAGTGAGGAGTCATCCCTTGGAGAAGATGCTCCTTGGTTTGGTTCATTCACCACTGCGGCGGTGGTTCTTGACAGTGGTGATATTATTAACAATGAGGAATATGAGCTCCTTGTTACTCAGGACAACACTATAGCCTCATGATTATTATCCACTGTCAGCCCACAACTTCTTCCTCAACTGGTGGGTGTCGAATCTGTTGTCGACGTTTGGACAACCGTCAACAAGTTCTTTGCCAGTAAATCAACCACCACAATGATGAACTTACACTATCGATTGAAAGGAGTTAAGATATGAGAGTTGAGCATGCATGCGTATATTTCCTAGGTGAAAGAAATCTACGACGCCTTGGCAGCTTTACTGAACAAGAAAATGTCGGTACTGTTACGGAAGACGGCTATCAGATAGAGCAAAATCGCAAATGATAATTTGATAAAATAAAATGAAGATAAAAGAGGCACAAAATTTACTTGAAAAACCCCTAAATAATATAGGGTAAAAACCACAGGCAACGGTAGAAGAATTTCACTACGAGGAAATAGGAATTACAACCTCTCGATCTACCAAGGAGAAAACAATGATAATTCTCTTTTTGATAAAAAGGAGAAAACAACTCTCAAGAAACTCTCTAAATTCTCTCTAGTATTGGAAGAAAGCTATAATGCTTTGGGATGATTTTGAAGCTAAATGAGCTAGGGTATTTATAGTAGAAGCTTTAAGGACTAATCTTGAAAATACCCTAAAAGTACAATGACTAAATGTGTAGTTTTACCATCCATTAATTTCAACCAAAATTGCAGCCATCTTTGAATCAATAGTCGCCGGTTGCTAGCCATTGTTTTAGACTTTTATTTTCAACAATCTCCCACTTGAAGATTTGATTGAAACAATCATATCTTCACCCCATTCTTTCTACCTTATACCATCATGTTGCTTATGTTTCTGACAGGCCACAAGAGGATCGACACCAAGTAAATTTATCAGCATTGACCGCCTTCGTCATGAAATCTGCTATGTTGTCTTTGGTATGGATCTTCTGCATATCTACCGTCCCTTCTTCCACCTTTTAATGAATGAAATGGTACTGAACTCGTATGTGTTTTGTCCTTGAATGAAATGATGGATTCCTTGCTAGATGCAAGGCGCTTTGACTGTCACAAAACAGTGAGACATACTCTTGATTGTGCCCAAGCTCCTCCAATAGCATCTTCAACCAAATTGTATCTTTACTGGCTTGTGTAGCTGCTACATATTCTACCTCTGTTGTGGATGTAGCCACAACTGACTGCAATTTTGAAACCCAGCTTATAGCTCCACCAGCAATTTTGAACACATATCCTGTAGTAGATTTGCTTTTATCCAAATCTCCTGCATAGTCAGAATATACATACCCATTGATTAGTAAGTTTGATCCTCCGTAACATAATGCAATATTTGAGGTCCCTTTTATGTATCTCAGGATCCTCTTTACTGTATTCCAATGCTCTTTGCCTGGATTTTCCATGTACCGACTAACCACTCCCACTGCTTGTGCAATGTCTGGTCTTGTGCATATCATAGCGAACATTAAACTTCCCACTGCCGATGCATACGGTACTCGAGACATCTCCATCCTCTCTTCTTCAGTGCTAGGACTCATACTGAAGGATAATTTGAAGTTAATAGGAAGAGGGGTAAAAATTGGCTTACAATCTTGCATGTTGAATCTTGACAAGATCTTCTTCAAGTAATTCTTTTGTGAAAGCCAAATCTTCCTATTACTTCTGTCTCGATCAATTTGCATCCCTAGAATCTTGTTTGCTGATGCCAAGTCCTTCATTTCAAATTCCCTAGTCAGTTGCCTTCAATTCTTCAATATGATCTTTGTTGGGTCCTGCAACCAACATGTCATCCACATACAACAACAATATAACAAAATTGTTATCACCAGACCTCTTAAAATAAGCACAAGGGTTTGCATTAAGTTTATTGTATCCAAGGCACATAATGAATGAATCAAATCTCTTAAACCAACACCTCGGCGCCTGCTTTAGATCGTACAGAGATTTGTTCAACCTGCAAACCAAGTTCTTCTTTTCTTTTTCTTCAAAACCTTCAGGCTAGAGCATGAAAATCTCTTCTTCAAGATTTCCATGAAGAAAAGCTGTTTTAATATCTAGCTACTCTAGATGTAAGTTCAATGTAGCACACATTGCCAAAACTACTTGAACTGCTGTTAGTCGAACCACAGGAGAAAATATTTCATTGAAATCAATACATTCTTTTTGAGTATATCCTTTTACCACCAGTCTTGCACGATACCTCTCAACTTGATCGTCACCATTTCGCTTGATTTTGAAGACCCATTTGTTACCAATTAGCTTCCTTCCTTGTGGTAGTGGCACAAGGTCCCATGTATTATTTTTATGAAGGGCTTCAATTTCTTCTCGCATCGCCATCATCCATAATGAAGCATCTGAGTTGTTTATTACCTCCTGGTATGTTGATGGCTCACCGTCCTCTGTTAAAAGGCAGTATGCAATATTACCTTCTATAACATAATCTGAGTGCCAATTGGGACGTCTTCTCACACGATCTGATTGACGAGTTGTTGGAGCTTCAGAACTCTCTGAATAAATGCCAATGTTTCTCAGTTGTCTATTTCTGAGAGGTCCAATTCGGCTGTCGTGGTTTGCTTTTGAGACTAAAGGGGTGGACGTTCTTAAGGACACCTGGGAGGTCGTGGCAGAGGCCGTAATTGCTTTCGTTGCCAACTCCGTGGAAAAACGGCCATCTCGTTGATAGATGTTGGTATCGTTTTGATAAAAGTTTTCGAGGGGTGTCTTCTAGCATTGATAAGTCTTCCTTGGGATCGGATGACTCTTGTACAAACCGCGGCAATTTTTGTGCTCATATTGCTTCTCATGAGTGTGCTTGTGGTTCACATGGTCAATCCCTATCTGCTGCGCTTCACTCGGATAAGTCTCGATCAGATGGTGTACTAGCGATCAAGAATAGTGGTTCGTGGATACTCTAGTCCTGGTAGGTTCATTATTGATAATGGAAGAGGTTTGTCTACTGATCGCGTGGGTCAATCCTCTTTACTTGCTAATTCGCGCAATTTGAAATTAAACAATACTCTTCTCGTACTATATATTACTAATAATTTAATATTAATGTCCAAGCTTGCTAAAGAAAACGGTTTATTTTTAGAGTTTCATGCTTGGAAATGCATAGTTCGCGATGAAAGGTCTAAAGAAGTGTTGTTGGAAGGAACAAAAGTGGATGAGTTGTATACGTTTTTTCTTAGGACTTCGCTAGATGGTGTTACTCAACCTGCAGTGTACTTGGCTAGTCATACTCCAACTAATTATGAGTTGTGGCATGATCGTCTTAGTCATCCTGCTCATGACGTGTTAATTCGTGCTTGCAAAAGTTGTAATATTGATCTTACGAGAATGGTGAATAAAAGGTTGGGTGTTTGTCAATCGTGTCAAACGGGGAAGAGCCATAGACTACCATTTTTTCCCTCTCACACCACTTATACTAAACCATTTGAATTTGTTTTCTCTGATCTTTGGGGGCCCTCTCATATTCCTTCAAATGGATATCGATACTATGTGTTGTTTGTAGACGTTCACACTCATCACACTTGGCTCTACCTTCTCTGATATAAAGACCAAGTGATTACTGCTTTTCAACTCTTTTACACGATGATTCAAAATCAGTTTGGAGCTACACTTAAAGCCCTTCAAAGCGACTAGGGCGGTGAGTATCGTAGTTTGTCCCTAGTGCTAGCTAAGAATGGGATTCAACATTGTGTTACATGTCCTCACACCTCTAAAAAAAATAGTGTTGTTGAACGCAAGAACAGACATGTACTTGTCGATGAGCTGACTCTGCTTGCTCGTGCTGCTATGCCATTTCATTTTTGGTCCTTTGCGATTGTGACCGCCGTACATGTTATTAATCAGCTTCCCACCAAGGTCCTTGATGGACAGAGTCTCCTTTCCAATTTTTTTTTTTTTTTGGAAAGACGCCTGATATTAAACATTTGAGGGTATTTGGGTGTCGTTATCCGCACACGAGACCTTTTCAACCATGTACGCTAGCATTTCGCTCAGAGCCATGTGTATTTCTTGGAAATTCTATGCAATGTCGTGGTTACCAATGCTTAGCATCTAATGGCCGTATATTTATCTCTCGAAGTTTGATATTTGATGAACATGTTTTTCCATTACAGATTGTTCGCATATATCACCAGATCCTCCTCAATTTGCTCGGACATGATCCTCTCTTCGAATAATCCTAGGGGCTGAACGTGTATGTGTTGCAACTAATGTGCATACACCTCTTCCTACTACGCCAGAACATACACAAACTTCTGACTTAGTGGACACGATGCACTCTCAGTAGTCCTGCTAATGAGAATTCTATCTCCGACAATGCTCCTAGTCCTACGTTGCATGATCACAGCCCCATACGAGAAACTTGTTGGTAAAATAGACTGCTGCAAAATGAGGCATTAGCATTAACTGGAAAAATATATGCTGAAATATATAAATAAAGAACCAATTAAATGTGTCGTGGTATTAACAACTGCCTTAGAAACGAATTCGCCCCGATGTGTGTAATCGCTCCAATAGGCGGATCGTCTCCCGAGGTTAACACGGTCGCTCCAAATTTCGTACACCCGAAACCGAAGTGGACTGATGGTGGTATTGCACTTCTAATCGGAAAGCACGAAGAGAACAACTTTAGAAAACACTTGGGGAGTGAATTCTGAATGTAGAGAGTGTGTTGATAAGCTGAATTCAACTATCTATTTATAGGCTAGAAGTAAGGGTAAATTCATCCAACAAGAAAATCAAATTAAATTTGATTTTAATTCTGAATTTAAACCATTTTGTAACTCCTAAAATATCTTGATGAATCCGACTCAAAAAGAGTCTAGATTCATTGCATAAAAACTCAACAGTTATAACTCCTGAAATTAAATCAGGTAACTCATGTAACTCCTGATATTAACAACTTGTTTCTCCCATGAACAAATATGAAAACCAGTCCAGATACATCTTAAGTTCTGATTAATTTAGGAAAGTAACTGTTTAATTTATTTAATTTCAGACAACTAATAATCAGTTGTTATAATCTGAAATATTCGAACTTTAACAGTCTTAGTAGCCTATAAATATCAGATGAACCTTTCACATTTTTCATTTAATATTTCAGAGAAAAGTTCCTTACAAATTTTATCTAAAAAGATAATATTCATGCAGACATGTTAAAAACACGTATTGCCACGTCTTATTCTCTATCACTCAACAAGGGAATGAAGAATGTGAACCTTAAATACAATTCCTACTAGTGTTTCCAATTCTATGTGGGATTAAGCATTACCAACAAAATTACATCCGCATCTCTTACTACCAATCAACATCCCATGGTAACTCGAAGCAAGCTGGGTATATTCAAACCTTGTGTGTTCAGTGCCACTACTTATTCATTCTTCCATGGTTGATGTTGAACCAACTACAGTTCATCATGCGCTGGCGTACCCTCATTGGAAAGAAGTGGTCCTCGATGATTACAATGCGTTGATGAAGAATGAAACTTGGGAACTTACTGCTCTACCTGCAGGTCGATCTATTATTGGTTGTAGACTGTTGTTCCGGATTAAGAAACTCTGATGGTACTATAGCTCGCTTTAAATCCAGATTGGTTGCGAAAGTGTATATTCAAAC